CGGTTCATCAAATCCATAAAAGCTGCCGAAGCGTTAGTCAACCCAAAAGGCATGACTAAAAACTCATAGAGGCCATAACGAGTCCTAAAGGCAGTCTTAGGAATATCCTCATCCCTAATCCTCAACTGATGGTACCCAGTCCTCAAGTCAATCTTAGAGAACAACTGCGCCCCTCTGAGTTGATCAAACAAATCATCGATGCATGGCAATGGGTACCTGTTCTTAATAGTGACCTTATTCAGCGCACGGTAGTCAACACATAAGCGGAGTGACCCATCCTTCTTCTTGACAAAAAGAACAGGTGCTCCCCACGGTGATGTGCTAGGTCGAATAAACCCCCGATCTTGCAACTCTTGAGTCTGCTTCTTCAACTCACTCAATTCAACTGGCGCTATTCTGTAGGGTGCCCTAGAGATAGGTGAAATACCAGGAGTGAGGTCGATGCAGAAATCCACTGCCCTCCTAGGAGGCAAACCCGGAATATCCCGAAACACATCTGCATACTCTGACACTATAGGCAACTGCTCTATAGTCACGCATTGCTCAACCACCTCGATGTCGGCCAGAAATCCCATAGTCATGGTGCCCTCAAACTCCCCACACTTATATCGAGAAGGAAACTGTCCCGGAACTGAGAATACAATAATCCTCTCATGGCAGTCCAACTGAGCATGATATCTAGCCAACCAATCCATACCCAGTATAGCATTAAATTCTCTCATACGTAATACTATTAAATCAATAGGATACTCCAACTCCCCAATTGTAACAGGGCAAGCACGACATATTCTATCAAGTGTCGTTGCGCTCCCGAGTGGAGTTGTAATAGATAAGGCATTACTTATATGTCCAGGTTCTAATCCCAGTGTATTCACAAATGATAGTGCAATAAAAGAATATGAAGAACCTGAATCAAATAGTACTCTAGCTATACTGCCATAAATAGTAAGTGTACCTTCCACTGCTGGTGGTGCACGATCCTGTCTCCCATCTGGAACAACTGCATAAACCCTTGCACCTCCTTGTTGCTGTGGTGCCTGACCTTTCTGCTGGTTATTCTTGTGAGGCTTGGGACAATTACGAGCCAAATGTCCTTGCTCACGACAATTGTAGCAATGCCCGCTGAACTGATATGGCTGTGCATCATAAGGTGTGGCTGGTACTAAAGCTGTGGATTGCTCACATTCACCAACTCTCTACCGTTTCCCTGCTCGCCAATCTTGTCTACCTCTCTGCCAAGACTGACCCTACCAGTTTCTCTGAGTCTGCTGCTGCTGACCCCTCTGATTCTGTTGAGAGCTACTCTGATTCTGTTGAGTGCTGCTAGCCTCCTTACCTTTCTGTTCTGCCCTACGCTCCTTCTGTTTCTGAAAGGCAATGTTATTATTCTCCTCTACTGCCATAGCACATTCCACCACTTTAGCATAAGTGTCAAAACGATGACCCACCACAAACTTCTTCTCATAAGAGACCAATCCTCGCTCAAACTTTCTAACCTTGTGTAACTCATTCGCAACAATGTGAGGAGCGAATCGGGATAGCTCTGTAAACTTCCTCTCGTACTCACTAACTGACATCTCATTATTCTGTTCCAGCTGCGTGAACTCTGCTGCCTTCTTCTCCTTCACTGATTGTGGAAAGTATTTGTCATTGAACCGAGTTTTAAAATCATCCCAGGTCATAGTTGTAATGTCCACAACCATCCTGGTCTCTGACTGCCACCACTGGCGTGCCTCACCAGATAAAAGAATTGCACCAATCTTCCTTTTCTGCACCTCAGTGCAGTCCATCATCTCAAAATACTTTTCCATATCTTCAATCCACTTCTCAGCATCAAGTGGATCGGTTGCTCTAGCAAATTCAACAGCCCCCAATTTGCGGATATCTCTAATAAATCCAATCATAGGATTTGGCACATGAGGTGCATCCTCCAACTGAACATTGTCATGGTCAACACCACCACGACCAGCACCTCCCTGACCTCTACCTCTAGCAGGTCGTCCTCTGCCTCTTCCAGCTCCTGACATCCTATTTTCAATAACGAATGTCAATAATAAGTCTCACAAGTAATTTATACTTAAACTGGAGTATGGTAAGAGAGCAATAATTCGTATAAGTATATGCTCCTATTCTTACTATCACTTCTCTTAGCCAGGTAATTCTTAACCTAGGCTCTGATACCAAACTGTCACGCCCCAAAATCCCAAATATATGAACTTTTATCTCGTATTAAGATTTGACATGACTTTCCTTACATAACCACAACTTTACAATAGAAATAATTAAATAAAGAAGTAGATGAAAACCACCCTCTAATTTATTAAATCGATACAACCATAATATTAAACAACCTTGTCAAAAATAATCCATGATAACTGGACAAAATGAACTAACTCTCAAAAAAAATATCGTCATTCTTATTACAATGCGAAAATTGAACTAAACCAAAGAATGCGACAAACAAGCCAAAACCCATCTCCATCATGTAATCCCATCACGTTCCTACTCAACGTGTACCTGAAATGTGATAATGGGGTGAGCTCACAAGCTCAGCAATAAATACTAAACACAATCATCGTTCAGTAAATTAACCTTACCTTATATTCCTGTATATATAAGCAACTCAAATAAGTTCATTATTCAAATGTGTATAGCCTAGTTAATTATAAACTTAATAAATAACCATCTTTTATTTTTTTTAATAAATCGGCATATCTCACATGAGCCCCAGGCTCCCGTCCAATAAAATGGTGTGAATCGTATAGTCCCTGACTACCAAAAACACACGTGTGGCTGGATTATACGTCTACTTCCCAGATGATCCCTGATCACGTCCACACAATAAGGGCTCATTAGACCCATGGCCATAACAAAAGGGTAGTGCACTCCCAATTAGGTAGGTCCCTGACCATACCCAAAAAGTCATCATAGGGTTAGTCCCTGACTACCCCTCCGACTAATCCAAACTCATCCATTAATTATTAATTATGGTGAATTGTGATATAATAATATAATATGAAATTTTATCATCATACTCATACCCATAAACCTTAACTATCACTTATTCATCCAGTACTGTAACTAATAATGAGGCATGCAACTGGAAGTACAAATAATACCAATTCTGGCTATGAAATTTCGTCCCAGTAAACTTAGTCAGCAAACATATTCAGTTTAACATTCATCTAAACTTCCTTATGCAATTGTATAACTGCACAAACAAATATATATATATATATATATATCATAGATCAACCTAATAGATTTCATATATATATATATCCACCTCTTCAATTAATCAGTTACAGGTACTCATAATTTGACATAGTGAGTTTCTTAAAAAATATATTTAGTCCAAGTACTTCATGTATGTATAAATTTTCCAATTATTTATAAAATAATTAAATAGAAGATTCAAGGTTCAGTGACATGTCTAATCTATTCCTAATAATTAAATAGCATAATCAATTTAATTAAGCAAAGTCTTTAAAGTTCAGTCCCACTATTTAGGCAAATTTTATACTAAATAGATACACGTAGTCACCTATATATAGGAACACAAATTCTTTCATGAAATCCAACATAAGTACCTATATATTTACTAGTCAGCATACAAATTTTTATGTCATTTACTTCCCAAAAATCCAATCACAATTGGTTTATGCTATTAATAAGTTCATAATTCTGTATATGTCCCCACATAAGCATATATATTAACTAACTTTCATTCAATCAGAAAAAAGATCTAGAATTATAGGCAATGAATATAATAAGTACCCAATAGAGTGCATGTGGTAACATGTATACTGGAACCCATATGTATTTATAATTAGATCCAACACGATTACACCTACAACTCCGTATTACAATTCATTAAATACCAAAGAGCGAGTAACAACCACATATTAATCTACTAAACAGGTTCATATATCAAATAATCATAGATTTCCATCAAACAATTGACTAAAATATGCTAGAACAGTCTTAGAATAATTCTTTAAGAAATTTTATAAATTAAGTCGTAAACATATATAAAAATATAAAGCAAGATTAACTTGCCTGGTATAAATAATTCTTCCTTTCTACGTAACTTCCCGATTGCCGTTCCTTTCCCCCGGCTACTGCAGGAAAACACGACGTCAAATCACTCTCTCTGGTCCCTTCTTCTCCCGTTATCGTGCTAGTATCTCTTTTTTTTTATATATATATATAAATAAAACGTATTAGAGAGTTATAGAGATATAGGGAGTCTGGTGAGATAAATTAGTTTTTTTTTTAAATTTAAATTATTTAACAAACTTTATCACAATCACCCGTTTAAATTAAATCAGAGATAACCATTAAATTATATTAAGTAAATAAATATATGATATAAATATATATATGTATTTTACACGGGTCTTACATTCTACCCTCCTAGAAAGAAATTTCGTCCTCGAAATTTGCGTACCTTATTCGAATAGATGTGGGTACTTTCCCTTCATTTCTGACTCTAGCTCCCAAGTAGCCTCTCTCTCATCCTGATGATTCCACTGTACCTTCACCAGAGGTATCTCTGCCCGCCTCAACTGTTTCACCATACTGTCAACAATGCGAACAGGCGTCTCAACATAGGTCATATTAGGGCAAATCTGGATCTCTGTGCAGTCAATGACCTGAGTTTCATCCCTCAAGCACCTCCTCAACATAGAGACATGGAAAACATCGTGAAAAGCTGATAGTCTAGGTGGTAGAGCCAATCTATATGCCACCACTCCAACCCTCTCTGTGATCTCAAAAGGTCCAATGAATCGAGGAGCTAACTTCCCTTTCTTCCCTTTCTTGCTCGGCCGCCGGAGCCTATGTGCGCGAGGCTTTGTTATCTTGGGGTTTTTGCGCTTTGACAGGATCGCTACCAGCCTCTCGTCGATCTTTCCATTTGATCCGGGTATTGCTATGTTTGCCTTTGTTTCATGTTTAACTCTAATGTTTGTTCTGTGCTTTTTGGCCTTTTGTTTTAGGTGCTTGTCTTCCTCCTCCTTTTTCTATCTCTGGGTTTCCATGGCGGGCCGATCCACTGTTAGTGCTGTATCTCACCTGGTCGGCCTGGCCTTTGGATCGTGGTGGGGTGTTGACGGACAGCTTATTTGGCCGCCACATGCTTTGCTATGGGGGGTGGAGATGTCGTATATGAGCTCCATGCCAGCGTCCGGCGTCTATGGTGTTTGCGTTGTTGTTCTTTACGGTTTCTTGGTGGGTCGGCTTTGGCGATCGGTTGTTGGGTATTCGGTTGGTGAAGTTGTGACGTCATGGCTGACGTGTGGTGATGTTTTTTCCCAGCGTTCTTTTGGTTGTTGGCGGGCCCGATCATTGATGTTTTGTCTTTGTGTTAGAAAGGGCCGATATGTATCTTTCGATGTAAGCTTTTTCTTCTCGTTTCTGGTGGGTATGGCTTTTGCATCCTTTGGAAGTTTATGTATGGCGGTGCATTTTTATCTATGGGTGGTTGTGTTTGGTGGTGTCTCTTTTTGTGTTTGTGCTGCTAGTTGTCCACTGTAACTGACACTTTTTCTTGATTTGTCAAGACTGTGATCTTGACTATATAAGAGGTGTTTAGTTTGATTTGGTTGGTTTAGTGCTTGATGATGTTAAATGTATCTTTGGTTCTATGTATTTCTATGTATTTCGCAGATGTACTTGTATGTAGATGTCGTATTGCGTTTGAATGTTTTCTTGCCAAGGTAAAAAAAAAAAAAAATCATCAAACTCGGTCTAATTTGCTCATCTCATTCTCTTTTTCATGGTATGGCTGGAAACTGGTACCGATCATCACCTGTGCTTGTTTCAATCATTTCTGTGCTCCAATCTTTCTTTTTCAAATCAGAACCACAAGTACCACAAGAATTACCAGATATTCTGGATTTGGGCGATGTCTCTCGTTCAAGTCCAGGATGCCCCAGCTGCGCCAGGGAAAAGAATAGTACAATGTGTCAGCCACCATCAGCACCACCACTACCATCACCACTCATTTCTGACACCTCAGCTGGCCATGAAACCTCCATCACCGTCGCCAGCTGCTCAATCAAGCAAGTCCCAGAAAATGAATCCCATTGTCAAGGTTTTCCGAGATCAAGAACTCGGAAAAACCCTACTTACTTATGTTATACCAATATCCACTGCAGTTTTGACAGTGAATGGCATCAAACACGCCTCTCTTCCATTACCCTCCATCGTAGTGTCACTTTGCATTGGTCTCCCAGCTCTGTGGATTGGAATTCTGTTTCGTGGCATCTTTTCTGACACCATGTCAAATGGTATAGAACAGTTTGGAGCTTGTTCTATATTTTTTGCCTTCCTTTTTGTGGTTAGCTCACTGCTTCCACCAGGCCTTGTTTGGATCCCCTGGACATGCTTTTCTGTCACTCTCTTACGTTCTATACTGAGCTGTCTTCCGCGAGCTTGGTTTCAGTTAATTGAGAACCCTGATGATGCTCTTTGATTTTGGTTGCAGAAGATTTACCAGTAAGTTTAATTAATTAGATATATATTAATTACATGTAAGCTTTGATCTTGACATGGTGTCTGAAATAGCCAAGTGCTCTATTAATTACTGTTTACAAGCATATATGTATCTACTATCTATCATGATTGTTAAATGCTGATGAGTTTAAATGAATTTGGTTTTGATCTCGACAAGTAATTCTGTCAATTAAACTTTGTCGGTTCCATAGAGAACTTGTTTGTACATTCATTTTACTCAATACTACTTACCCAATTTACCTAGAAAGACACGAGGAATTCTATCAAGAGGGTAGTCAAGTCCCTTGATAACTACCATTTCATTTAGATTAGTCAAGCCCTTAACAACAAACCTAGATCATTCATGTCATACACTGGTTCAATCTTAACGTATTTTGTTGGAAATTGTTTTCTTTCCTTTAATTTATTTATTTGGTTGTTCGTGGTTAAGGTGGTGGTTCATTTTGATATAGTAAGGAATAAGGCAAATTTTTACGTTGAAAACACTGGTTCAATCTCTATCTTTTAAAAAATTTAGCATTTTTTTTTTTTGTAAAACAATTACTACACAAACTTGATGTTCATTTGTGTTTTCCCCAATCTTAGGGAGAGTTAAAATAGATTTTTTTTCCTTACATAAATCAAATATTTTATGCACACTTTGTGCTATAAAAGAATATAATTAATACTTGAATATAACACTGGTTCAAGTAATCATACTCTTAACGCTAAATTGTGATTCAAGAATCCGAGTTCGTGTCATAACATAAATTGTTAATCCAATCCCTACATATGATCTTGAAAACCTCCTCCATCCATCCAATGTAAGATTTTTTATTCAACCATGTTGGTGTGTGTGTGTTTATTATTCCTTGGAGTCTTCATTAATTTTGCGGCCAAAAAAATAATAAAATAAATATTAAGATACATATTGGTTGATCTGCTTAGTGTAAATGAATGCTTTGGAATGTAACTTGCCTGGAAATAAAGGAATTTTGTTTTTCATTTGGCGGAATTAAACTTAAATTGGTTGAATCTTCCTTTTGATGTCCTCTAATAGATGGGTTTTGTTCAGATAAAATTGGCATAATTATGCTTTATTCTTGATTTATTTATCCGTTCTTATAATTTGATGGTTATTTAATTTGTCTTCTATCCATCTTTAGGCTGCATTTGCATTCCTGAATAGGTGATTATATCCAAATGAGAAGATTCCATAATATAACTAGCGTACTTGCTCCTTTATCCAATTTTTATTTCTTTTAATCAAATCATAAAGCAAAAATAAAGTGCATGTAAAGTAAATAGAGTTTGAGAGATGGCACCAGGATTTTGGCGAGGAAACCTCAATTGGTAGAATAGACCAATTGTAACAGGAAAAGCATCGTTGGATTATGCAGTCCTGAGATAAACGATCCACTATGTTTGAAGCAAAGTATACTGAACTTTGACTCGGTCTCACACCCTATCGTTCTACCAAAAACCAATCGCTGACAATTCCTGGCTTTGCGACTCCCCCGTCCAACAGCTCTCGACCTTAGGCTTACTCTTGATCTCTGTAGAAGAGTTGCAAGTAGATCAAACAAAAATCCACGAATGCTTTGACCCCTTCAAAGTGTGATCGCTTTACCCCTTTTCTTCTAGATCTAAATTTGATGAAGAATGAATGAATTCTGCTTTTTGAAATTTCTGAATCTTCAATTATACTCAAATTCCAATGAAATAGAGAACAACACTACTAAATCACTCTTGTGTTTATATGTGTGCTCTCAAAAATAAAATCAGAAAAAATAGATTGATTTTCTGAATAAAAATATCTTTCAAAGATGGCCCTCTATCAGATCTAAATTTTGTATACAAAAGCCATGAATAAACCTAGATGACTATCATGGTTTATATAGAGTTTAGAATGTCCTAATCCCTCTGAAAATATAGAAAATTTCGTGCATGGGACTTGGAAGGAATTCTAAACCAAGTAGGAAACAAACAGAGCAAGAAAGGAAAGCTTCCAACACTAAAGAACATAAATGTATACATAATGAAGAATTTAAGTGAAATTTCAACCAACCATGCTCACCTTACGTACTGATTCCATGACCTCCACCACCTTTCCTTTCTCAACCACCACCACCACCACCACCACCACCACCCACTATGCTCACCTTACTTACTGATTTTATGGCTGGCTTACCACCACCTTCACAAACCCCCTCCCACCTGACTTGCCCTAACATTCTCCTTTCCCCCACTGATAAGCAGTCTCCTGCGAATCTTCTTAACCATGGTACCCAACCTGGCTTAGGCACCATTCATGAAGAAGTAAAGGAAGGTGAATGGGATGCTACTGCTGAGGAAGCTAAAGCATTAGCTGAAGCCAAGCTGATGTTGGAACAGGCGCCTGCTAGATCACTTGCTAATGCTAGAATTGAACTTGCTATTGCCAGACAGAGAATTACTAAGTTGGAAAAAGCCTTTAACCACAGAGCTGATATCCAAAGAGGGAAACAACCTATCAACATTGAGGTTGATCCAAGTCCAACTCCCCACTCTTCTAATGAGCTAGGGAGTAAAAGTTCCAGCCTTCACACCTCAAGTAAAGGAAGAGGTAGAGGCTCTGATGGAAGAGGCAGAGGTGGAGGAAGAAGATCCAACACCATTGTTTCTCAGCACCAACTTCAGAAGAGCGCGCATCCACGCGCCACCTTTGGAGGTGGGTCAAAGTACAAGTCATGAGTTAAACATTGGGGTAAACACTTTTGCCCAACTCATACCTTCACAGAGTGACTTTCCTTCATTTCACCAAAATGGAAATACTAGCCTTCCAAAGGGTCTGGACCTAACACAACAACCATTTCTGATCAAGTTAGACCTCCAGACACTTACACCAGCTGGTCAAAAGTTGCTGCCACTGGTTATGGTTCTGTAGCTGAAAAGTGCAGAATGAAATTTGAATTTTTGCCCCCCACTGCAACTACTGGATCACCCATTATTGTTGACCTTCCTGCTAACCTAGCTGATGAAGGAGCTTATGAATGGAAGGCCAGTCTTATAGGATATTTTTTGCAGAAAAAGCTCCCATACTCTTTTATTCTTAAGCAATCTCAAAAGTTATGGGGTTCCTTGGGTTTTGAGGAGCTCCTTGGGGATGATAGAGGTTTCTTCATTTTCAAATTCTCAACCGAGAATGAATGTAAAAATGTCCTTGTGAATGGGCCATGGATGATGATGGGAAGACCAATTATTCTCAAAAAATGGGAAAAGGGGATGGAATTCAACAAAGAAACCTATAGCACTATTCCTCTATGGGTGAAATTTTCCAACATCCCATATGAGTACCGGACTACTAAAGGCCTAAGTTATATTACTAGTGCTGTGGGGAAGCCTCTATTTGCTGATGAGCAAACTGAGTCCATGACTAGAATAAGTTATGCTAGGGTTTGTATTGAGATCAATGCTACTAACCCTATAGTTGAAAGCTTTCAAATTAAAGTTGAGAGTGGTAAACTTATCACCATTGAGGCTGAGTACCAGTGGCTGCCTCTGGTGTGTGATGTTTGTAAGTGTTTTAGGCATTCTTCAACTAATTGCAGGTCACAGGTAAACCTCACAGGTCCCTCTCTTACCTATGTGATCCCTAATGTTAGCAACCCAGTGAAGTCTACCTCTGAATGGAAGGTAGTCCAAAGGAACAACAACAAGCCTATTCCTTCTACCAGCTCTAAACACCATGATCTCATTCCTAGCACAAAAACAAACCAAATGAATGCTCCTCCTTCTACTGAGGGCATTAACCCATCCCCTCCACTATTAGAGACCAACAAGTTTTCCACACTTCAATCTGATTGTGAGCTTCCTACAGAAGGCTGCCCTATCCCATTGGAACATGAGATTGTTCCCATTTGTATCAACCAAGGTCAACAGAATGATACAAACTGTGATGATGTTAACTCCAGCACTAATATGGCTGAATCTTCTCACACTTCCAGTGACATTGCCCTGTCAACTACAATGCAAGATAGCAAAACTGTTACAAATGGGGGAAAAGGCAAGGCTGATGATATGGAGAAGAAGAAGAAGGGGGATATTACCCAATAGATGTCTGTCCTGGGCTTTCCTGGCCTTGTGATGCGGTCCAACAGTCCACCCAATGATTAATACAGCTGCATAGAATATCAGGGGTCTTAATTCCCCTGAAAAACAAAGAGAAATAAGGAAGTTTATCTTTGACTCAAAGCTCCAGTTACTTGCCACTTTGGAAAATAAAGTCCAATAAGGTAATGCTAAGACAGTGATGAGAAACATTGCTCCTTCTTGGCAGTTATTACACAACTACAAACACTTCATTCTAGGGAGGATATGGATTTTGTATGACTTAAGGTTCATTAAAGTTTAGATGCTAAGTGATAGTACCCAAGCCATCCACTGCTATGTTACTATTGAAAGTGACCACATAAATTTCAATCTTTCTATTATTTATGCCTACAATAGTGCAGATCAGAGAAGAAGCCTCCTGTGAAAAGACATTTGTCAACTTGCTACCTTTGTTCCCCAAACCCCATGGCTTCTTATGGGAGACCTTAATGTTATCAGGCATCCTTCAAAGTGTTTTGGAGGCTCTCAGAGATAGACCCCTGCCATTGATGAGTTCAATGATTGCATTCACTCCTCTGAGTTGTGTGACCTGAGGTATAGTGGGATTTTGTATACATGAACAAATATGAGTCCAGGGGTATCCAATATATCTAAGAAACTTGATAGAGTCTTGTCCAATGACAAATGGCTCACCACCTTTCCCCTCTCTGAATGTGAGTTCTTAGCCCATGGGATCTCTAATCACTCCCCTATGGTGGTGAAGGTCGGTAGCCCAATTCCTAGAAGAAACAACCCTTTCAGATTTTTCAATTTCATTGGAAATCACAAGGACTTCTTGACCACAGTTAATACAATATGGAGTAATAATGTTAATGGTATCCCTATGTTCTAAGTGACTAGGAAACTCAAGATATTGAAACAGTAGCTCAAGCTCTTAAATACTAAAGAGTTCTTGAGGCCAAGGATGCTCTTAATTTTTGCCAAAAGAAACTTGATTCTAATCCCTCTGATGAACTACTAAGGGCCAGAGAAAAAGAATTACTCCAAAGTGACAATGATGTTATAGCAGCTGAGGAATCTTTCTTCAACCAAAAGTCTAGGGTTA